CCAGTAAAGGGTTGGTGCCATCTTTACTGTAATAATACAAGACTAATACCATATGTTGGAGTTTGATAAACTTTACATAGAGCAACTTATCTAGACTATTACAAACCTTTTGACCCGATCTAATGTTGACACTGGTGTATATACTATTCAACACAGTATGGTGGCTCACTGGCAAGGTACCTGTTGTGGATGGTGGAGGCCTCGGGTTCGACTGCCAGATGGATTGAAGTCGTGTTGAACTGGTCGAAGCAGAAACAGGATTTTGAATGGTTCGTAAGTAAAATTTATGTTTTAGCAGTGATGTTGGGGCTGGTGCAATGTAATTACTCTACTATAGAGAAAGAAGCTGTGGCTCTGCTTATGGCACTGAAAAGTTTAACATATATCTTGGCAACACCTACCAGAGAATTGTAGTTTACAGTGACCATAATTTATTACAGTTCAAAAGTCGGATGAAAAACAAGAATCAGAGACTTAATAGATGGTGATTAACTCTGCAGGGAAAGACTTGGTATGTTGTGTAGGAGTGAGGGAAGGACTTGGTATGTTGTGTAGGAGTGAGGGAAGGACTTGGTATGTTGTGTGGGAGTGAGGGATGGACTTGATATGTTGTTTAGGAGTGAGGGAAGGACTTGGTATGTTGTGTAGGAGTGAGGGAAGGACTTGGAATGTTGTGTAGGAGTGAGGAATGGACTTGGTATGTTGTGTAGGAGTGAGGGAAGGACTTGGTATGTTGTGTAGGAGTGAGGAATGGACTTGGTATGTTGTGTAGGAGTGAGGGAAGGACTTGGTATGTTGTTTAGGAGTGAGGGAAGGACTTGGTATGTTGTGTAAGAGTGAGAGAAGGACTTGGTATGTTGTGTAGGAGTGAGGAATGGACTTGGTATGTTGTGTAGGAGTGAGGGAAGGACTTGGTATGTTGTGTGGGAGTGAGGGAAGGACTTGGTATGTTGTGTAGGAGTGAGAGAAGGACTTGGTATGTTGTCTAAGAGTGAGGGATAGACATGGTATGTTGTGTAGGAGTTAGGGAAGGACTTGGTATGTTGTGTAGGAGTGAGGGAAGGACTTGGTATGTTGTTTAGGAGTGAGGGATGGACTTGGTATGTTGTGTAGGAGTGAGGGATGGACTTGGTATGTTGTGTAGGAGTGAGGGATGGACTTGGTATGTTGTGTAGGAGTGAGGGAAGGACTTGGTATGTTGTTTAGGAGTGAGGGAAGGACTTGGTATGTTGTGTAGGAGTGAGGGAAGGACTTGGTATGTTGTGTAGGAGTGAGGGAAGGACTTGGTATGTTGTGTAGGAGTGAGGGAAGGACTTGGTATGTTATGTAGGAGTGAGGGAAGGACTTGGTATGTTGGGTAGAAGTGAGGGAAGGACTTGGTATGTTGTGTAGGAGAGGAGACTTGTGGAGTGAGGGAAGGACTTGTGAGGGGTGAGGAAGGACTTGTAGTAGTGTAAGGGTGAGGGAAGGACTTGTAGTTTGTGTAGGAGCAAAGGATTGTAAGTGTAGGATGAGGGAAGGACTTGAAGTTTTGTAGGAGTGAGGGAAGGACTTGTGGTTTGTGTAGGAGTGGAGGAAAGGACTTGAGTATTGTTAGGGTGAGGGAAGGACTTGTAGTATTGTGGAGTGAGGATGAATTGCGGTGGTATTGTAGTGACTTAAGTGGTGGGGGGGGGTTGGGTGTGGGGGGGGGGTGTTGTGGGTGGTTGGTATTGTGTGAGTGAGGGATGGCCTTGTTGTACTGTATAGAAGGGAAGGATTTGTAGTTTTGTGTAGGAGTAGGATGACTTGATATGTTGTGTGAAGTGAGGAGACTTGGTGTAAGAGTGAGGATGGACTGGTATGTTATGAGGAGGAGGAAGGACTTGGATGGTTAGGAGTGAGGAACGACTTTAGTTGTGCAGGAGTAAGAAAGGATTTAGTATTGTGTAGGAGTGAAGGAAGGACTAGTATGTGAGATGAGGATAGACTTGGTATGTTGTGTAGGAGTGAGGATGGACTTGGTATGTTAAGGAAGGACTTATACTATTGTAGTGAGGGAAGGACTGTAGAAGTGAGGAAGTACTTAAGTTTTGAAGAGTGAGAGAAGGGCTTGTAGTTTTGTGTGGAGTGAGGAAAGACTTGTAGTTTTGTGTATGAGTGAGGGATGGACTTGTAGTATTGTAGGGAGTGAGGGAAGGACTTGTAGTATTGTGTAGGAGTGAGGAAGGAATTGTGTGGTATTGAGTAAGTGAAGAACTTGTAGTATTGTAGGAGTGAGGTAAGGACTAAGTTTTGTAGGAGTGAGGGAAGGACTGTAGTTTTGTGTAGGAGTGAGGAGTTGTAGTATTGCAGAGTGAAGGAAGGACTTGTAGTATTGTGTAGGAGTGAGGAACTTGAGGGGAGTGAGGATGGACTTATGTGTTGTAGGGGTGTGTGAGGGATGAACTTGGTATGTTGTGTAGGAGGAGAGAAGACTGTAGTATTGTAGGAGTTAGATGGACTTATAGTATTGTGTAGGAGTGATGGACTTGGTATGTTGTGTAGGAGTGAGAGAATTTCGGGAAGGACTTGCAGTATGTGTGGGGAGTGGGGAAGGACTTGCAGTGTTGTGTAGGGTGAGGGAAGGACTTGGAGTATTGTGTAGGAGTGAGGGAAAGGACTTGGTATGTTGTGTTGGAGTGAAGAACTTAGTATTATTAGGGGTGGGGAAGGACTTAGGAAGTTAGTTTAGGATTGAAAGGTAGAGAGATGGACTTGTATTAT